ATTCTAACGATACCCCTGAACAGATGGACTTACAAACTGAGGATGCTACGGCATCTGATATAACTAATAACATTTTTCCAGAATTATCTGAAAATGAACTCAATAATGCTCCAAATTCTGATATATCTTTTGAAAATAAAGAGATCGAATTTCTGGAACGGGTGTATAAAGAACAGATTAGAAATGAAATAGGAGCAAGAAACCGGGATAAAACACTATTACAAAATAATGAAGCATCTATTTCCTGAGATCAAGAACTGATACAAAAGAATTTTATATCCAAAATCGATCAGAACGTTTCAGAAAACCCGATTAGTCAAACACCAAGTAACATTTCTTCCAAAATTAAAATTCCCTATAATCAAAAAGTTGACCAAGGTTTAATATGTGAGTTATCTACATTTATTAATGAGAAAATCCTTTGGAATACTATATCTAATAAACAAATTCTTGAAAATATGCTAGATGGAGATGATTTAATTCTGGATTCTGCATCACATTTGGCTTATTTATTCGACAAGGCTAAAAAAACTAGACAGAAAGAAATTTTATGTTGGTATTATTATAGTGAAGAATTCGAAAAAAAGTTCAGAGATATTAGCTTAAAAAACGAAATTAATGATCAAATGGCAAGAACACAAATTTATAATGAAATAGAACCATTTCTTCCTGGCATCAAGAGAGAGTATTTGCGTAAGAAAACACAAAAAGCTAGAAATATTTATATATTGTTCAAAGAAATAGGAATAGATAAAATCAACCAAGTTATGTATAGTGCTGATGCTATTTCTAGTTTAACGAGTATTCAAATCCAAAACATCATAAAGCTTTTCTCTGAAAAAACAGAATGTCAAAAAGTAGTCGGCGTGAAGAATCTTCACGTGCATGTGACTGAACCATCCCAAGAAAACAATCAAGATTCGAAATTACCAGAAATGATTCAAGAGGAATCAACCGAAATACAGGCAAATATATTCGATGATTCTTCAGATTATAACTCAGAATCCTCTGATGATGATAATTATAATGTTGATGAAGAGGATGTGGACGATGCTAATAATGATGATAAAGACGATAATGAAAATTACTCTGTTAGCGATGATAACGATGTTGACTGTGAAATTAATTCTTTATCGGAAACGAATCCACATGATTCAACTAAGGTAAATATTTCAGCCAATCCACCTTATAATCATGCTTATTTCTGTAAAAAAAATATTAAAGCAATATCCTAATTTATGTCGAGAAGGTAGTGATGGAAATGACGATTATTATGGAATTACTGATAAATCTTTATGCCCGCTATGCAAGTTAGATCATGATGATGAAAATGGTATAGAAGGCAGATATGAAATTGGATCTTATAATCTTAAATGCGAACAGTGTGGAATTGAAATTGAGGTAACAGCATAAACCCTGCCTTCTCACAATATTTGCTCGAAGCCAAAAAGTAAGTGATCACTATATGTATTTACATTTAAACAGAAGCTAATCACTTTTTTTCTTTTTTCGAATTTATGAGAAAAAAGGTTCCGAGGCATATTTATTTTTGTCGGCCATTGTTAATTTAAAGAGATATGCAATTATATAAAATGGCAATATGAATACACAGGTAAAAGCCAATAAAACATTAACTCCCGAGTATTTGGAGTGAAAAGCTAAATTAACAGAATTGCTAAGCCTTTTGACAGATAATATTCATTTTAGGTTATATAAAAGATACAAGAAAAAAACTGGACTCGATCTTTGGATAAACTCTGAAACTTCTGGATCCTCCCAAATCGAAGATAGCAATAATTATATTTCACGAAATTGTATTATCAAGATTTCTAAATTTCTGGAAGAACAAAGTATAATTATTGAAACAGTACATAAACGCTTCTCTTTTTTGACATATACTCATTCGAATACATGGTACCAAGACGTGTTTAAATATACTGATTTAGATGCTAAATGTCCAATATGCAAAGATATACATACATGTTTAGGCATGTGGGGTGATTGGAGCTGTTCGAGTAAAGATAACTATTATTTTCTTAACTGTCCTTTTCGCTCCGATCAAAAGAAGCTATTAATCACTTTGCAGGCTTAGATAAATACAAAAGAATCCTCATTACATAGTAGGTCAAAGTTCGACAAATAAAATTATTAATTTTAGCATCAAAGGTGCACCTTAAAAGGCAATAAAAATTATGAGTGGAATCGAAATAACAGTATAAATAACAACCAATACTTATTTACATAATCGCGTAAAAATAAAAAATGGTGAGAGCACCGGACTCTTTATTTCATAAAAATTTGTTGCCAGGACAACAGTATATCAAACAAATAAAAAATATATATTTTTATTATATAATAAAAAAAAATAATAATTTTTTTTTCTAATTATACATTAGAGAAGGTAATCATTATCATCACAATCATCATTACCAGTTGAATACCACATATAACTACTAATGGAATTGTTATCCTTATTATCTCCATAGTAATGTGAAATCAGTTTATCATAGATATCGTCTAGTTTGAATAGAAAAAGAAACTACCGGTAAGTCCCAGGTGCTTATATTTTGAGGAAATTATTTTTGTAGAATATTTACGCAATGTAAACTTTACTTACAAGTATAGAGGTTCTTTCGAGTATTATTATCATTGGTCTTGGAGGCGTTATTGTTATTGTTCTTGGGGGCGTTATTATCATTGTTTTTGGGGTGTTATTATCATTAGTCTTGGAGGCGTTATTGACATTGTTCTTGGGGGCGTTATTATCATTGTTTTTGGGGGTGTTATTATCATTGGTCTTGGAGGTATTGCTATTACTGGTCCTGGGGGTCTTATTTTTCTTGTTTTTGGTGGTGGTAT